TATGCTGCTGGTTACCAGCATTGGTACCTCTTTGAACTTACTCCATGACTTTCATTTCACGGTGACTATATTACCAATTGGCCATCATTGATATCAGTGTGCGTTTTTACTTTGTAGCTTTTTAGTTTATGAAGCATATTTATCACACATCAGCATTTACTTAGCAGTCCCCTTAGAAAACTGGTTTATACTCCTTTCCTTTAACCTTTATTTGTGCAAAGGCCTAATGTGTGTAAAACATACCCACAATTCCTAAGGGCGGCTATGTGGATGAACAGGTTAGAGAACTCATTTTCAAAGATTTTCACACTTGGAGACAATGCAGCTGGCAATGAGACCTGCCCATTCTACCCCTTCATATTTCTCCAAACCGGCCCCATGACCACTGGTTTAGTTCAGTCCATCATTATCTGAACTACTGTAATAGTCTCCTGTCACTTTAAAAAGAAAGCTGCCTTTTCTTTCCTCTTCCCTTCACTTAAGACTAAACTATATTTTGAGAAAAGACAATATCATCAATCCAAGGCATAGAGATTTTAATAAATGGGCTTTTGACATGTTACATCATAAATGAACCTTCCAAGCTTGTAAGTGGTCCTTTGACAGGATGCATCATGTCAATCTGCAGCTCAGAACCTTTACTGATTTAATCCATAATTCATATAGTAATGGATCCTGAAAATTCCAGGGCTTCCTTTCTCCCAGCCAGGGCAGCTCTGCTAGTGCAATCTGAGTCTGGTCCACTATAGCTCAATGGCTCCAAGGGCACGTGCCCTCTGAATGGACCCCACAGTATTCCTGAGGAGGGGCTTCTCAAGCTCCAGTTATTACTGGGCCACCGCACTGCTCTGGCCAGACCCACCTGCATTTCGTGCTGTTATGTCTGTAATATTTTAAAACCAAATGATCCTTCAACTTACAAAGGTGAATTTATACCACCAGCACACACAGAAAATCAGTAGCAATTGTCATTAAAAGAAGCTCCCGCAGTACCCTGAATGGCAGAGCTCATGGATGTAGCAACAGCAGGAAGAACGTCACGACTTGGGACAGACTCAACTGGCCAAGTCCTTTGCAGCCGCTGAGCAGGAAGGGAGCTGGGGAATAACAGCAGCACATTATAGTCGATTCAACATTGGCTCGACTTAGCATAAATAATCCAAAATTAAATTGGGCATGTGACCCATGTATCACCAGGGTCTCCCGTGAGTCCCGCAGCTTGCCGTGTTGGCCAGACCTCCCAGTCTAGTCCGGGCTTGGAAGCATTTGTTTCATTGTCTGCTTTTTAATAGAATCAGATGACTTTCTTGAAAAATTGAAATCCTAGGAGGATCAAGGGAAGAATAAGGAGAGGAAAGAAATGACTTTTGGTGAATAATGTTAAAGATATGGAAAAAGAAGGAAAGCACAAAGACACGGTGAGGAATCACAAAAGTGGAGCATGCACAGCCCAGAGCCACTTTGGGAGCTCTTGCTGAACAATTTTTGTGTACTGCACACGTACAACCTGAAATGCTATACACACAGAGTAAAGAACACGGAAATCTTCTAAAACATTAACTATCCTTAGCCATGTATATCTGAATAGGAAGAATGGTACATGTACTTTTAAAGAGATGGGTATTTGTTTGCTTTGAAAGTCTGGGCAGAGTCAGGTTAAATTTCAGATGCTATGAATTTTTTTTTGCGGGGGGTTGTTGTTGTTGTTGTTGTTTGTACTTGGGATTGAATCCAGGGGCAGTTTACCACTGAGCCACATCCCAGTCTTTTTTTGTTTGTTTGTTTGTTTGTTTGTTTGTTTGTTTGTTTGTTTGTTTTGAGACAGGGTCTTCTTGCTAAGTTGCTTTAGGGCCTTGCTAAATTGCTGAGGCTGGCCTTGAACTTGCAATCCTCCTGCCTCCACCTCCCAAGTAGCTGAGATTATAGGTGTGTGCCATAGCATCCAGCTATGCAATGTTATTCAACACAACATAGAATAATTTTCTATAACAGAGTGTTCAATGAATAATATAAACTCATTTAAAATGAAGATGACTTACAGAGCTTGATTTTGGATTAACAGCTAAAATAGCCTGTAAAACAATTAGTACTTTGGATTATAGGCCTTGCTTTAAATATAGAACTGGAGACATTTTTACTGAAAGTGACTCCAAAAACCACAACTAAACAAAAAGACCCAGGGAAGAGTTATTTTTCAGTCTTTTTTTAGCCTAAGGAACTGTATTGCCCTGGAATTTCACTTAGGAAACTTTTCAATAGAGAGATGCAATCTTCATTTATACCAGAAGGTATATGTTCAGTCAAGCTGGATCAGGGCATGTTTAAGTGCCTATTTCTCAAGGCACTAGTTGAGGCTGTGGACAGGTGGTAAGACTTAATAAGCCATGGTTCCTGCCCTGATATTGTTGACAAATAAAATATAGATTGCCCAATTAAATTTGAATTTCAGATAAGTAACAAATCTTTCAGTATACCTTTATGGTATGAGCAGGTCCCTGTACAACATTTGGGCACTATTTATCCTTAAAAAGTTGTTCATTAGGGCTGGGGCTGGGGCTGGGGCTCCGTGGCAGAGCACTTGCCTAGCATGTGTGAAGCACTAGGTTCGATTCTCAGCACCACAATCAATAAATAAAATAAAGATCCATTGACAACTAAAAAAAAATATTTTTCTAAAAAAGTTGTTCATTGCTTATTTGAAATTCAAATTTAACTGAATATCCTATATTTTCATTTGCTAAATCTACAAACACTTTGTAAAAGAGAAGAATCGTTTAACAAATAGTTACTGAATACTAATTGTATGGTAGTGACCATTCTTGGAACTGGAGGGTAAATAGGGAGGCAAAGTCCCTGCTTTTATGGACTCAGAGCCTTCCAATAAATAAGCAAATAAAGAGACAACCACAAAGATGTGGGGTGCGTTGTGGGTCTCCACTACAGAGAGCTGTGCTTGAGCAGTGCTGCTGCAATAAGAAGAGCCGCCAGCTGAGAGGGCTTGGGGAAGAGTCCATTACAGTGGAGGGTCCTGGTGCAGGATAAGGTTCCAGGTACCAGACTTCATGGCACACACCTTCCTCCTTTCTACACACTGCAGGACTACACATCTTGCACATTACAGGACGGTGGTCCCGGGAGCTCATCCTAGTCAGCAGACAACAAAAAGTTCCCCTACTTATGGTCAAAGGCACCCCCCCCTCCCCAGCCAGAGCTTCCCATCCTGAAATTACAAATCCTTGCAGGAAACAGGAATGCTGTGTGTACCAGGCATGCACTCAAGCTTTGAGGGGCTGAACAACACTCTTGAGGACAGAAGAACCAGAGACATTGGGACCCTCAGCAGCCCTGACTGCTGGTCAAATTCATGTTCTAGGCAAGTCCTCTGAGTCCAGCAGCAGACAGACACAGCTGACCAGCACCTTGGACAGGTATTCCTGGGGGCATGAGAACTCAGGAGGTGAAGCATGCTGCAGGCAGGAAAGATGAAGCAGAGGAAACTGAGGCCACACCCAGCACAGGAAGTGCTGTCAGCCACTGTGCAGGTGCACACAAGTGGGGCTAAAACATGCCAGTCAAGTCCGCTGCTCAGCACTTGACATGCTCAGCACCCAGGCTGGCAGAGGGCTGGTCTCCAGTGTCCCCATAGGGAACAGAGGAAAGCAGAGCCTGCAGCACCCTGCACCGCTCTGCCCACTCGAGGCTGAAATGCAGATCCTTGCCCTTCTCTGGTTCTGGTACAGATAAAGTGCCGGCGCTATGAGCCTGACGCCAGGTCCACTGTTAAAAATCTGGGCGTGTTGAAAAGATGAATCAGGACAAGGGATTAGATTTGGTTCAGATAATGAGTCTAAGATTTACCAATATCATCATTACAGATTAGACAGTGGGACGGCTGTGGATGGCCTCTCCCTTGGGTCCTGCTGTACCCATGCACCTGGCCATGACCATCACTTGCTCATCCTAGCACCTTGCACAAATGCTCCTATTCTCGGGGCCTGGAGGCCTTTCCCAGTCTTGTGCCTGTAAAACTCCTATGCATCCTTTCGTCCTCTGTGCAGTCCTCCTCCAAGAGCATGTCCAGCTCTTGCACTACATGTGTGTCCCTTGCACACCCACCCCCGCAGAATCCACGGTGTCCGCCACAGGGGCGGCATAGTCCAAGTTCTCTGCTGCAGCTCACAGCATCACCAGGGTCCACGGGCTTGCTTCCTCCCTCACTCACCTGTGGGCTCCTTACAGATCACAGAAAGTCCTGCATTAGCACAAAGGAGACCCATCATGTGTGCAATGGGAAAGGCATGGGGAGTAAAAGTGACTCAAGAGCCACTTTCCCATTTAACTTAACACATCATCAAAAATCCCCCAAATTCTTACTGATGCCTAATTTTTCAAGACATAACAGTCATTTAAGGAAACACATCATTTTACAAGCATTCTTTTATTATTATTATTAAGCAAGAAATAGGTTCATGATTGTTTATGTGTCAGAGTGTCTCCACCAAGAGGTTAAGTCAAGAGCCATGCTCTAGAGAGACCACAGGTGAGAGAGGGAAGTGTCTCTCCCACATGAATTGGGAAACAAATGCACATACCAATTTATGAAAGAATTAGTCTCTTGAGCAAATTCCAATAAATTGTGTATTCACTTGTTTTGAAAATTATCATAAGATCTTTACATTCATGCACTTTGTTAAATGTATTTCAAATCATAAAATACTTGCTTCTATGATCAACATTATTTTTGGCCTATTTCTGATTTCTTTCCCAGCTAGCTACCGTCTACTAATATCACGACAAGGGCTTAAAAGAAAACTAAAGGACATATAATTTAAAAAATTTTTAAAAACTGGCAAAAATATTTGCTTTTTCTATGAATTAAATTTTGGCTGTGTTATAAAAGATTACATGGACACACTTCATGAATATAACAAAAAAAGTGATCATTTTTCATGCTGTACAATCGGAAGATGTAAATGATGAGATTAAAGAAACGGAGTTACCTACTGAGGGAGGGGTTCACCAGGTCTTAGTGGCTCCATATTACAATCTAGAAACGTCTTAATGTAGACTAGTCACATTGCAGGTCCAGAGGAGATTTACAATCTGATTTGCCACAGAGAACGCCATGTAATCTTCGTAGGACTGACACCATTTTATCTTCGTATGAATCCCTGTTTCTCACACAGGCAATTCCGTCCCTTCTACATTGTCAGCTCTGACAGGCTGATTTAATCTGCAGGATTCTGAATGCCTCTGACCACTGCGGTGAGTCATTAACCTTGACTTGCATAATTGAATTCAAGGTTGATTGCCTGTGACCCTCCGCGCTGAGGTCTTCTAAATGTACATATTCATTACGGGTGGCCTCACTAAACGGATCGCACAGGGAAAGCTGTAGCAGTCGCCTGCTTGGTATGCAGGGGGCGCAGAGGGCACTAATTGCATGTTAGAGCTGAGGATTAGATTATGAAACGAGGGAGAAAATGAAGATAGATCCTCTGACACTGTCAGATTAGGGGCAGCAGCATGCAGGAATATGACATTGAAATTTACAGTGACATTAACAGAAGGAAAATTAGAAACAAATAGACAGTGGACATTTTTTGAAAATCTTCATATTTTCCACAATCACCTAATAAACGGGATATGGAAGATGGAAGCTAAGGTTTGTATCTTTTTCATTTGCATAATTGCAGTAGAGGAATGGAGTTTTTTTTTTTTTTACAGTAGCTTTTTTGAAGACTAGAAAATCACATTACAGTCACTTTAAAATTACAAGTTATGCAATATCTGGGCCGTGTTTAAATAACTGACTTTTCTCCCCCAATGCTATTTTGAGTTGCCAAGAAAAGACATTCACAAAACTGTAGGAAGCCAGGGGAATATACAAATGTTTAAGTGTTTCAAATTAATGTGAGCCATTCTGCCGCCCCGGACTCCAGGGTTCAATTCTGGTGGAAAGCCAGCTTATAAAATTATCACTATTTCTGTTTTTTATTGATTTTGTGTCACTTCATAGTTAAAACAAGTGCCTACGTGTTCACATCAAGCAAGTATCCTGACACACAAGCAGATGCTTCAGTTAATAGGAAGCAGTTGTACAAATCACTTCCATTTCCACAAGAAAATGTCCACACCATCACAAACACAGCAAGGAAGGGTCTGACCACAGGCCAGACAGCATATAAATTCCAGGGACCCTTCTCCTTCCCACTCAGGAGTGAACCAAGACTCTAGCAACCCTCCCTGGCACTTTTGCCAATTATTTTATGATTTATTTTAAAGGAAAATGACAGCCAATCCTTCTGACAACAAAAAGCATACAACACTTAATGGCCTCAGATGTTTAAAAACAAAAGCCCTTGGTGTTTAACACAGCTAGAAATGAATGTTGCATTGGTTAAAAGCTAAAGATTCTACCTCTAGAGAAGACAGCTTAGTTTTGTTTGGCTTGGCTTGGCAGGGCTTGGCTTTGTTTTTAAAACAAGCCCACCAAATAGTCCCTGTGGTACTGCAGGATAATACTCCAGAAATATTCTACAGCAGTTTCAAACAATTAACTTGGTTTGCATTGATCTTTCCAAATGAAATGTACTTTTGCTACTTCAAGAAACTCTAAATGGAAGAAGTAACTTCCCCTTACTGGGGAAGCTCCCATTCTGTAGGAAGGGAGCTCATGAACCAAGCAACAATGTAGAGAGAATGCACCGCACCTGCCTTCCGTGCAAGGATGGTAATACTCTTGGGAGCTGCATGCAGGGTCTCCAGTGCACCTTCCAGAGACATTTAAATGATGGCTGTAGATGATATCTGTTATCCAAATCTACTAAGTGCATGATGAAGCCAACTTTCAAATGAACCAACATTACTTTGTTTTTTATCAAAGGAAATAAAGAGCAGTGGAAGTCAGACTAGACGTGTCAAGGTCCAGGTTCCAACAAAGCGCCATTAATTTTCACCAGGTGGCCCTGGGCCAATCACCATTTTAGACTGTTGCACCTCACCAGGTTTTATGAAAATAACTGCAAAATGTTACATAATTTAGGTATTATTAAGATTTTTCAAAACTTACATTTATCCCTCAGTGTCTAACAAAGCCTACCAAAAACAGGGGCTTCACATCACTGTGATTTAACAGTTCTGAAAGTTAGCAGTTGGATAGTTCTTCAGCGGGTCTTGCTTGGGACCATTCATGAGGTTGCTGTCATTTTCCTGATGGCTCCCCTGAGGTTGAAGAGTCCTAGGTGGCCTGTTCCAGTGCCTGGCAGTGGGTGCCAGCTCTCAGCAGGGACTCCAGTCCTTCCACGCCATCCTCAGTCTGTGCCTCTTAGGTGAACTCCCCACAGGTGATGTCTCAGGGTTTCAAAACAGGAGAACAGATACCCGAGGCCTTGTTAGGTCTCCACCTGGAACTACACACCACTTCTACCATAGTCTATTGATCAAAAACCAGCCCAGATTCAAAGGAGTAGAGAAATAGACCCTGCTTCCTGATGGGAGAAGTGGCCAAGCTCCACAGGAAAGGGGCACAGACAGTGAGGCCCGCTCCACCCAGGACCGCCTCACCACAGCAGGCCAGGCCCCCACAGCAGACTTGCCAACCATGTCACACTCACGTAGGAGAAAGTACATTGATTCACTGGGATCTCGTTCTTGCTTTTTGATACTGCCCAGTATGAAGTCCCTTGCCTTCTTCACCTCCCTCCTCTGTCCTGTTTGTTTAGTGTATAGACTGTGGGCCTGCAATTGCTGACCCACAGGGCTTGGTCCCAGTTCTGATTCTGACTGGTACCTGTGCAAGCAGTACATAGGCCCCTCCATGAGCTTTGCCACTGGTATTCGGTACAGCGATTAAGTAAACTGAGCTTTACTAAAATCTCAAAGCATGGATTAAGCCCCAGCTCCAGCAACCACTAGCTAGGATCCTTGGGTAAATTGCTGAATCTCTGAGCCTCAATTTCCTCATCTGTAGAAGGTTCCGGTGACTGTAATGACCTCATAGTTTGTGAGCAGGTTGAACCAGCACCCAAAATTGTACCTGGCACAATAAGTGCTCAGATAATCGCCATTACTGGCGGCACTTTTCTGCCTGTGGACCCAACATGGAGAGCATCATGCTGGAGAACCAGGCTTAGCAACCATCATTAAGGCCCTGAGATACAATTGAGTTGCTTAGTCCATAATTTTAAGTATATTTAGATATTACCTCTAAGTAATAATCAGACTGTTAACAACTGATGTGAAAACAGCTCCCTGGGCTCTGAGCCTGCTCTAACCTTCAGTCTGCAGATCAGCAGACCCCTCAGCATGCCTGACCACAGAGACACAGGTGGGCAGCTTTTGTTCTCCTTTCTGGCATTAGGAAATGTTCACGTGTACTATGGATAAGGGACAGTGGCTGTATGCTTGCTCGACCAATGCTCAGCTTGTCCACACTCTGTCCAGTCCTACTTGAAGTTCACATCACCATAGTGACCACCCATCATAATGGCTTGCTCTCCAACTTCCTACCGAGGCAGAATAAAAAAGTGTGAAAATGTTCTGCAAACTGTAAGGCTATACATACACACGGGGCAGCCTAGCACTATTATTATCCATGATGTAAGAAAGCCTCTTCGGCTCCTTGGATTGGCTAGGGCAAAGCTCCCTGTCCACTCTGCTGGAACCTGCACAACATCCGGGATGCTGTTTTGAAAATGCATCGTCCTGAGTGCCAGTGTCAACAAAGGAATCAGGAAAACACTTTTGAAAAGCAGTTTGAAGCCCAGTGTGGTGGCACACGCCTGTAACCCCAGTGATTCAGGATGCTGAGGAAGAAGGATCGAGATTTTTTTAAAGCCAGCCTCAGCAACTTAGTGAGGCCCTATGCAATTTAGTGAAAACCTGTCTCAAAATAAAACTAAGAGGGCTGGGGATGTGGCTCAGTGGTAAAGCAGCTCTGAGCCACATCCCCATACAAAAAAAAAAAAAAAAGGCACATTAAACTTTAAAAGTTAATTAAAGTACAACACATGGTTTGTGCAGTGCTCTGCTCTTAACAGACAGATAATTACTGTCTGCTAATGGCAGTTAGGATGGCCAAAAAGGCCTAGTGTCCACCTGGATTAAATAATGCCACCTTGAGTCCACACAGCCCTACTCCAGATTCAGAGAAACTCAGAGCACCTATGACACATGTGTCCAGGTCAGAGCCTCAACCGCAGCCTGCAGCATGTTGAAAAGAGGAAAGAGTTTATGCTCGCTCGTGTTCCAAAGGCTGCTGCTCTTTTCTTCCCGCAGGCTACCCACAGTGCACCTCTGCACAATCTGTGATCTTGAAGACAAGTCAGCTCAGGGCAGCTCCCGCTACACCTACGGACAGGCAGAAGCCAGCTACCCTGAGTCACCAGTTACCTCTGATTTGTGTAGGCGCTTTAGCCAGGCTGTCGGAGTTGTCGTTGCTGCTAGCTTTCTATTTATCTGTATTGCCTGGAGGCCGGGGAAGGGTCAAGCAGAAACCAGAGGTTACATGAGTCCAGCCACGTAGACAGGTGGCTCAGTTCAACAAAACCGCTAGTTTTTATGTTTTTGACCAAAAATGACTCTTTCCCTCTATATCTCTTCCCAGCAGGTTTGTTCTTTGGTCAGTTAAGGCAAAACAAAAGGATTTTTTTCTCCAAGTCAAGCGAAATACCATAACACCCAGTGAGAGGTTAAGTTAGAGGCTGGAGTACAAGGACCCTGCAGGAAAGAGCCTCTAGGGTGGCCCATGATGGGAGCTATGGGTGGGCAGAGCAGCTGCTAGAGGAAGCTATGGAAAGATGGAGATCCACTAGCGAGTGGTGAGAACCTGCCAAGAAGGTGTGTCAGGAACCAAGCGTGGAAATGAGGACAAATGCAGGCAAGAAAAGAGGAGAAAAGAGAGCCTTCACACAAGAAAGAGAATGGGGTGTGTCTCTGCACTGCTGTGATGTCACTTGCCCCAGAAGAGAGGACATTCAGAGGAGAATGATGGCAAGTGATATATTTTTGTTTTTATTGAGGTGTAACTGATCCAGGATGTTGCATGCACTTAACATCTGCATGCTCATGATTGTGGACCTCACACATGACTGTGCTCCATGACATCCAAGGTACTTTCTACAATCCACTCACACTGTGCCTTACCAAGGTCTTTGGACGATGCTATCTCCTTTGGTCTTCACAATCCTCTGCAGCAGACAATGACACACTAAGTCCAGGAGCAGGGAACAAAGTCTTCAGCCAGGATAGGATAGAGAGAAGCAAGAACCTAGGAGTCCTGGCCCCTTGATATGAGGTTGTTGAAAAGACTGAATGGGCAATACATGGAAATGCTAGGCACCTGGACCAGAACACTATTGGTGAACCTGGACTGTCCTCATTGTC